GTGAAGATGTCCCTCTTCGGCCATTGGGCTGAACGGACAAAAATCTGCTATAACTTAACCACGAGAGAAACGAACAGCGCAAAGTTAGTCTTGGCCATGTGAAATAAGTCTCTCTTCGGCCATTGGGGTGAACGGACATGTCTACTATAAGTATGATGGTTGTGTGAAAAAACGTCCCTCTCCGGTCTTAGGACTGGAAGGACGAGTCTGCTATGAAAGTGAGTCCATCTTCGATCTTCGAATGGAACGGACAGACGGCTATAAAGGCGATAATCAGTTATAAAATTGGTCAAGCGAAAAAGAAGTCTCTCTTCGAACTGAACGGACGATCAGCTACAACTGCGACCACCAGCTATCGATTTGGACAAGTGAAAAGTATGGAAATCTAACCGAAAGGATTCAACAAGTTTGGATTCAAGGAAAGATTCAGGCATGCAAAAAATGCTGTTACATCAAGACGAAAGAAAGATATGCATTTTCGTGAATGCTAAAGAAGACAGGAAAAGGGAAATTTAAGACCAGACGAAAGGAAAAAGAGAGGAAAGACTTCAAGGGAAATTTAAGACCAGACGAAAAGAAAAAGAGAGGAAGGACTTCAAGTGAAATTTAAGACCAGACGAAAAGAAAAAGGGAGGAAGGACTTCAAGGGAAATTTAAGACCAGACGAAAGTAAAAAGAGAGGAAGGACTTCAAGGGAAATTTAAGACCAGACGAAAGGAAAAAGAGAGGAAGGACTTCAAGGGAAATTTAAGACCAGACGAAAGGAAAAAGAGAGGAAAGACTTCAAGGGAAATTTAAGACCAGACGAAAGGAAAAAGAGAGGAAGGACTTCAAGGGAAATTTAAGACCAGACGAAAGGAAAAAGAGAGGAAAGACTTCAAGGGAAATTAAAGACCAGACGAAAGGAAAAAGAGAGGAAAGACTTCAAGGGAAATTTAAGACCAGACGAAAAGAAAAAGAGAGGAAGGACTTCAAGGGAAATTTAAGACCAGACGAAAGGAAAAAAGAGGAAGGACTTCAAGGAAATTTAAGACCAGACGAAAGGAAAAAAGAGGAAAGACTTCAAGGGAAATTTAAGACCAGACGAAAAGAAAAAGAGAGGAAGGACTTCAAGTGAAATTTAAGACCAGACGAAAAGAAAAAGGGAGGAAGGACTTCAAGGGAAATTTAAGACCAGACGAAAGGAAAAAGAGAGGAAGGACTTCAAGGGAAATTTAAGACCAGACGAAAAGAAAAAGGGAGGAAGGACTTCAAGGGAAATTTAAGACCAGACGAAAAGAAAAAGAGAGGAAGGACTTCAAGGGATATTTAAGACCAGACGAAAGGAAAAAGAGAGGAAAGACTTCAAGGGAAATTTAAGACCAGACGAAAAGAAAAAGAGAGGAAGGACTTCAAGGGAAATTTAAGACCAGACGAAAGGAAAAAAGAGAGGAAGGACTTCAAGGGAAATTTAAGACCAGACGAAAGGAAAAAGAGAGGAAAGACTTCAAGGGAAATTTAAGACCAGACGAAAGGAAAATGAGAGGAAAAGACTTCAAGGAAATTTAAGACCAGACGAAAAGAAAAAGAGAGGAAAGACTTCCAGGAAATTTAAGACCAGACGAAAAAGAAAAAAGAGAGGAAAAGACTTCAAGGAAATTTAAGACCAGACGAAAGGAAAAAGAGAGGAAAGACTTCAAGGGAAATTTAAGACCAGACGAAAGGAAAAAGGGAAAGACTTCAAGGAAATTTAAGACCAGACGAAAGGAAAAAAAGAGGAAAGACTTCAAGGAAATTTAAGACCAGACGAAAAGAAAAAGAGAGGAAAGACTTCAAGGGAAATTTAAGACCAGACGAAAAGAAAAAGAGAGGAAAGACTTCAAGGGAAATTTAAGACCAGACGAAAGGAAAAAGAGAGGAAGGACTTCAAGGGAAATTTAAGACCAGACGAAAGGAAAAAGAGAGGAAGGACTTCAAGGGAAATTTAAGACCAGACGAAAGGAAAAAGAGAGGAAAGACTTCAAGGGAAATTTAAGACCAGACGAAAAGAAAAAGAGAGGAAAGACTTCAAGGGAAATTTAAGACCAGACGAAAATAAAAAGAAAGAAAGAAAAGACCTGAAAAAAAGAGACTTATACGAAAAGAAGAAGAAAAAGAAAAGAAATATAAAAAGAAATGGAAAAGAATACATATAAGAAACATTAGGGAACACCTCGAGCCGGTGTAATGGTTAACAAGCTTTTCTCGCTAGAACAAGTACGACTGAGCAGTGAGTTCGATCCTCACTGGGTGCCGTAAGCCTTCGGTCTTGTACCATATCTAAACAACGCTTGGAAAATCTCTATAAGACAAAGAACTTTTATAACGACCAGAGACGTTCATTGTTTCTCTTATAATTTTTTCACTTTGCTAACTCTATCTTTTCATGTTTGTACTTTCATGCAAGGTATTATGTACACTATTTACATTATTCGGACTATTGTCCTCATCTTTGTCGCCATATTTATTACAACGTTTCGGCCTTTCAGTATCTGTCCATATTTCTGAGATGAGGTATTATGTACACTATTTACATTATTCGGACATTTGTCCTCATCTTTGTCGCCATATTTATTACAACGTTTCGGCCTTTCAGTATCTGTCTATATTTCTGAGATGAGGTATTATGTACACTATTTACATTATTCGGACTATTGTCCTCATCTTTGTCGCCATATTTATTACAAAGTTTCGGCCTTTCAGTATCTGTCTATATTTCTGAGATGAGGTATTATGTACACTATTTACATTATTCGGACTATTGTCCTCATCTTTGTCGCCATATTTATTACAAAGTTTCGGCCTTTCAGTATCTGTCTATATTTCTGAGATGAGGTATTATGTACACTATTTACATTATTCGGACTATTGTCCTCATCTTTGTCACCATATTTATTACAACGTTTCAGCCGTTGTACGCTTCGGCCTTCTTCAGGTGGTTGGAATGTCGAATTGAAACTCTTTATTTGATATTTCCTGTAAAAAATTCTTAATAATAATAATAATAATAATAATAATAATAATTATTATTATTATTATTTTAAGTGTAAGATAGTCATACATTTACAATTCATTATGGCTAACCATAAAAAAGATTAATTATGTACACTATTTCCATTTATTTGCCTATTGTCCTCATCTTTGTCGCCATATTTATTACAAAGTTTCGGCCTTTCAGTATCTGTCTATATTTCTGAGATGAGGTATTATGTACTCTATTTACATTATTTGGACTATTTATCCACTGTGGATAAAGGCCTTAGTTAGATCCAGTGACAGGATCCAAAGAGTGTGATTTCAATACACAGTTAAGACAGTGGATAACTTGGAGAGGGGAATTGCTTTGAAATTTCTCATGCAACAAAAACAGACTATCATTATTGTTTCGTCCGTGTATTGTTTGATATATTGAAAAGTAATTGTCATGTTTGATAATGGCTTATGTAAACCGGAAGCTTAGATCGGATTTAAACATGTATCAATATGGTGATTTCCTTTCGCCTTTCAATGATAATGTTAAGCTTAGCAGACAATATGAAAGGAGCTTACTTAAAATAAATAGACACAACTTGTCTATATTAATTAATGAAACATGCATCAATGAAAAATTGCTGCCTAAATATAGACAATATATATATATATATATATATATATATATATATATATATATATATGAGAATTGTCATCTATTTAAAGCACTTTCCTTAGTATATTGGATGTTCCTAGTAGGTCAATCTTCTGGGCAACTTGTTGGTTGATGTTACATAGGACACTGTTAGTAAAATTGCCCATTCCTTTTCTCACGAGGCCCAGTGCTCCGATTACTATTGGTAGTCTCAGCCTTCATATTATTATTATTATTATTATTATTATTATTATTTCCTTTTATTTCTGTTGTATACTCATTTCCTTCCCAACTAGAGGTATGAGTCATCATGACATTTTTTAACGTGCATCGTTGTAAAAAAAAATGGATGGGGAACCTAAAACGATCAACAATTTATGCAGATAAAGCGCTTTGTAAGGTGTGAGTTGTACTTTTGTGTGCTATATTTTGCATTTCTTTATGATGACGCGTGGCATTGCATTTAAATGTTTGGAGATCAAATTCGTCTGCAAAGCAAGGAACCGGAAGAGAGTTTCACAAGCTAGAAGTGCGAGAAAATAAACCGTTAGCATCGAATTTAGATTTACATGCAGCCTATTCAACTATAAACAGAGGGGACCTTATTGCTAATCTAGTACTGCGTTTAAATTCATAAAGTCTAGAGACTCTAGCAAAGAGTTCATTCGAACAATTACCATGAAAGTATTTATAGAAAAAGCACAGGAAAATAACTTTACAATGGTGGGAAAGTGACTGAAGCCGAGATGCCAGGTCAGGACCAATAATATTGCTGATGAGCCTTTGGATTTTATCAAGAATCGCTAAATACATAGCAGAAGGATCGGGCCATATGTGGCGGCAATATTCGCGTTGTAGACGAATGGTAGACATATAGCTACGTAAGGTCGATTCGGGTAAGAAAAACATAAAACCAGGGATCGATTTGAGAGTGTATTTGTATTATGAACAAGACACCCGCCTAAATAAAAGGTAAAACTTTAATATTTTTTTTATTCTGATAATTTTTGCAGGTAAAGAATGTACAAAAAATTTTCCGTCTTTTACGAGTGGACCATTTAAACTAAGTAGTTCCCCTACAAGCAGTTAAGATGAAAATCCATGAGAAGCATGACTAGTATGGCATCAGGCCTTCATTTTGTTATCAATAGCGTTGTTTAGAGAATTACAAATAGCTACAATACATATTATGTCACTAGTGTTTATCCATATAAAGATGCTAATCACGTTAGTTATTTATTACTGAAGTTGTTAGGAAATAATTTATTTTTTGAAAACCAAATCAGACTGCTTATTTATTGGCTTTATTGTCCGGGCTATTAACAGTTTGACAGACTCCATCAATATCCAACGTGTGATGACAGATTTACATGTTATGACCGGCCGTAACACAGATGGTCGTATTTTTCTCTTGGATCTGTTAAAGAGCCTCAGAGGCGTAAAGCTTATAATTCTTCTTTCTTTCTTTCTCTCTCTCTTTCTCTCTCTCTCTCTCTCTCTCTCTCTCTCTCTCTCTCTCTCATGTCTGTGGTGTACAGGAGTTGGACAAAATAATGGAAGCATCACTTGACAAGTATCATTCTATGACAAAGTATCATTCTATGTTTTTTTTCACACACACAGACACACACACACACACACACACACACACACACACACACACACACACACACATACACATGTAAAAGGGTCGGACGAAATAATGGAAACACCAATTTGCAGACAGCATTGTATATTTTTTTCGCAAACATACAAACGCGCACATGCAGATGAACATGTACACAAAGTTTACACAGACACACACACACATATATATATATACACGTACATATGTTGGACAAAATAAAATAATAGCACTTTACAGCCTACATCCTATTTTTCGCACAGGGTCACATAAACACACCAACACATACATACACATATACTCATACACGAACGCACACACATATATATCTATACATTTTATAATTATACATATGTATGTACATATATATATATATATATATATATATATATATATGTATGTATGTATATGTACATTTTATATATATATATATGTGTGTGTGTGTGTGTGTGTGTGTGTGTGTGTGTTGTGTGTTTATTTCTTCATTCATTGAAATTGCGTTAGAATAGACGCTTATCTGTCATCCGGTCCTCTGACAATATGTATACATTTTAATCCCAAGTATGTGAATGGGGTCCTAACCTCACGCGTAAAACAACACAAACACACTCAAATTATAATACATAAGCACCCAGACATATTTAGATATACATATACACAAACTGCTCTACTCTGTATTGAGCACTCTTTTAAGAATAGTAATTGCTGGTTATTGGAATTCATTCCGTATACACCAATTATATACTTGGATATATATATATATATATATATATATATATATATATATATATATATTATTATGAAATGGACAAAGTCCGACAATTATTTTAAGACATTTTTATATTTATACATTCTTTTTATAGATACAAATATTTGAGTAAATGCTCTATTTTATAGTAAACAGTATTTATAACATTTACCGGCCTGAATGTATTTAGCTGTATTGGACACTATTTCTTTACATAACAAATTAAATACTTATTTGCTTAGCAGAATATTCACGCTAACGAAAGCGTATACAGTTGATAATATGGAAGATGTAAGTTTAAAGGCAGTAAATTCGACCTTGCTAATCGGACGATCCCCTGTGGCTCGATCGGTTAAGAGCACGTCAGGCTAAATCGGACGATCCCCTGTGGCTCGATCGGTTAAGAGCACGTCAGGCTAAATGACGGTTCCGTAAAGGATACAGGTTCGATTCCTGTCGGAGGACGAATATTTTCTCTGAAAATTTCTCGGGTAAATGTCATTAATTCTGTTTATTATAAAACAGAGCATTTACTTATATATTTGTATCTATAAAAAGAATGTATAAATATAAAAATGTCTTAATATATATATATATATATGTGTGTGTGTGTGGATATAAACTAAATAACCTCATATTATCAACTGTATACGCTTTCGTTAGCGTGAATATGCTGCTAAGCAAATAAGTATTTAATTTGTTATGTAAACAAAACAGTGTCCAATACAGCTAAACAGAGCTATAAAGTACATTAATAGATACAAATATACTTTCATCTTATCATGCAGGACAGTGTTTCATGGATTCCAAAGTTGTCAGACACAAATGGTAAATAAACCACTTAATACAGTTGTTTTATTCTAAATACAGTGTATCATAGGAGGAACGCTAAATTGTATACAGATTCAAAGATATTATGAACCTAATATACTATTCAAAATATAGAGTGTTGGTGAGGAGACATCAAAGGAAAATGGCGCATACTTTAAGCTTACATGGTACATATTTTTCCGTTGGGGAAAAAGCACACCAATAGTTGGGTATTGTTTAAAACAGTGTAAAAAGAAAAAAGGTTTAACTTGAGAATTTTAAAGTATAAAGAGTAAGCAATATGATTACGAAGTGGGAAGATAACCCTTTATGAAGTCGTCAAAAAAACAAATGTTAGCGACTTATGACAGTTTTTTTATATACACAAAAGCCTTTCAGAAAAATAAAAAAATAAAATAAATAAATCTCTATAGACACTTAACCAGACTAGACGATGTCATCTTCCGCTTTAAATTTAGACACCCCAACCTTACCCTGACTTAACGTCTTTGAATGTAACTGAGATATTGATACAAATTATTAACCCTTACGTCCCTTTTCTTTAAACAATTGCTCTAGCCGTTACCATAGTAATCTTAATTTCAATAATGAATATGCTTATAAAATGCGTAAATTTCAGGAATAAGTTATTCCAGTAAAAATTTCACTTGAAGATGGAACAGAGCTTAGTAGTTTAATTCAATTTAATTCAAATAATTATATTGAAGTTTTCGGCTCTTGTTTTGAAACATGAGAACTCTTATGTAGCGTTGGAATCATATTTTTAAATAAATAATTATATTTATGCTCTACTTTTGTATCGAGCACTATTTTTAAAAAATAATAGCAAAATACTAAAAGAACTTTGGATTATTTACCTAACAGAGTTCTTTCCTATTTTCTATATATTTTTACACACACACACACACACACATATATATATATATATATATATATATATATATATATATATATATATATATATATATATATATATATATATATATATATATATATATATATATACTTTTACCTGGCTTATGTCAGAGGGTATCCCCCATTTTACGTGGTCTATAGGGAATTTTTGCCCGAGCCTACGGGGCTTGGATACCCACTTTAAACTCGGCCTTGTACCACATCTTGCTGCGTGGGACAGCAGGTAAATAATTATATTGTATGTATATCTATATATACATTTTGTATATATGTATATTCGGAAAGTTATTCGTGAGTATGAACGGATTTTGTTAAAAAATTAGCAGACACAATGTCTGTAATTTATTAAATCAGACATGCCTAAAAGAGAATTTGCTGCCTAAATACACAAATATATACGTATATATACGTATATATATATATATATATATATATATATATACATTTTGTATGTATGCACACGCACGCACACACACACACACACACATATATATATATATATATATATATATGATGCAGGAAGAAAATGAGTAATTACCTACACTGAGGTTCGAGCGTGACACCTCTGGACTTATGAATGTTTTCTTCCAAGTGTATAAATAGCGGTGTCAGGCTACTGACTAGAGTGATTCACTGACTATTGAGTGGAACTATCCAGTCGAATTAGTGTGAATTATTGTGCGTCGATGTTTTGGGTTTTTATTCAGGATTTACCGGACGTTAAGCCGAGCTGAGCCGCGCTACTAACAAGGTATTCCCTGGGTTGGTTAACTATCTTTGGTTGACTTTTACTTCTTTTTCTTAAGTATTTATTTGTGGTTGTAATTAAATACTGTTTTATCCTAACATTGAAGTCTTGAGTTATACTTAATTAACAGCCACCGTACGTCACAAAAATATTATATATAATATATACTACATATATATTTTATATATACACGATAAAAATATCTATCTATCTATCTATCTATCTATCTATCTATCTATCTATCTCATTCTGTTCATTATCTATCTATTTCATTCTGTTCATAACTATCTATTCTGATAATATCTATCTATCTCATTCTGTTTATATATCTTTCTTTCTATCTATCTATTTATCTATATATCTATCTATTCCTCTAATTCTGTTCATTATCTATCTATCTACCTACCTTTCATATTGATGCCATGCATATCGCTACAGAATCACAAAGACCTGTACCATATAATAGAAACCATATCACTTGAGGATTACCAAGAACAGCAACAACTTAAATGGATAGTACATGTAACTTGAAGAGAAAATAATGGCATAATAAAGATGTTAATATTCCACACTACTTGAAATAAAACGTTAGATATGAAACACCCAACCAAACGTGAAAGATCGATAACAGCTACTGCACTCAAGAAACCTATTTTCCTGCAAAATTGTTTGAAGAGAAAGTTTTTTCTAAATTTCAACCGAAAACAGTATTGGCTCTTCTCTTAATGAATGCCAAATGTTTCCTTGGAGGGAAACTGCTAATATTACCAATACCATTATTATGTAAATTCCATGACATAAACATTGTCCATTATGGGAGAGCGATAAAAACCTTGTCGGCATTAAATAAACCCTTGAGGTTGATATGCCGTAAAACAAACCAAACCAAACCAATATATACTGAGATAGATAGATAGATAGATAGATAGATAGATAGATAAAAAATATTGCCAGCAATAAAAATCTTGTCGGCATTAAATAACCCCTTGAGGTTGATATATCGTAAAACAGACCAAACCAAACTGACTCGGGGTGGTAACACTTGTTAGGGTCTCAGCTATGCGCAAATAGTTGACCTCCAAACTGAGGTCAAATCACTATGAAATTGTAAAAATAGGTTTTAATACTATGAATTTTTGAAGAAAAAAATATTACGAACAATACATTTTTGGAAAAAAAATATCACCAGCAATAAAAATCTTGTCAGTATTAAATGACCCATTGAGGTGCTGATATACTGTAAAACAAACCAAACCAAACTTAAACAAGGTTCAAAGTTTTCCTAACAACTGTTCAGAAGATGTACGAGTTAATTGCTTGATGTACTAGAAGTGTGATTGATGCCAAAATTGGATCAACACAGAATGAGATAATAAAACTTCAATTTAACAAACTATTACCAATCATTCTACCCAGCCCTTGTATAGTTTGGGTTTATTCGGAGAGATTTTCAGTTAACGACAAATTTCTGTCCTTTGTAGCTCTTAATAAAAGATGTCTTTTTCTTATCTCTCCTAAACCTTGTTCTGTCTTCAAACTCACCAAGTAGGTTATACATTGTTTTCTTCTGTCTCTTTTGCCATCAGTCTCTCTTGTGAGTATTAATTTCTATGATTCATGCTTAGTCCTTTCTTCTTGCTATCCCTTAACCATTTAGGAATTTCTACAGTCCCCATTCTGCATCTGCCATAGTATCAGCTGTGCATTTTATGCTATTAATGAATCCATCAATAATAAATCAGCTTAAATCTTCTAGTCGTTTTTCGATTGCCTCACTCTAAAGTTAGAATTAAATCTGGCAAGAAGACACTTCCTTGTCTTGCACCTCTTTCAATTATTGTGTACTCAAGCCATTCTCTAACCGTATACAGGTAGTTTTCAATTACTCAATTATACAAATATCTTCACAAATAAAGCTTCCCTGACAGTTCAAATAGTTCTTTGTTTTATACCTTATCAATTACTTTTGCGTTGTCTACAGAACATAAATATATGTCCTTCTGCATTTGTATTGCTCTCCTTGATATGGTTCTGATAATAAACATCACATTTCTTATTCCTGTGTTCTTAATGGATACACACTGTTCTTGCTCAATTTATCTTCTAAAATAGAGTCATTACTTTCAATATGAAACGTTTATTTTGTATAAAAATATGTTCCCTGCTTGTTGAAAGTGGGCAGTTCAAGTCAGCTCAAGTAGATGTAAGAAACACTCGATGTATAGGATTTGATCTATTTTAATAGTCTCGCTATTACATAAGTTTCCTCTCTCTAGAGCTACGCGAGTCTATTGCTGCTTGTTATATAAGGAGTTGTTTCAGTGAATTCAATTTAAAAGCAAGCAAGCAACAGCTGCACTTTTTTCTTGTAAGGAAAATATGAACAGTTTAAACCAAATAGAATTTCTGATAAGTCTACTCCAATATAATATTCATCAGAAACCGTGTTATTCTGCTAACTGCAGTCATTAGGAAATATTTCTTATCTTAAGAAAGACATCAAAGAAGAGTCTGTTTATGAATAATTTTAATAAAATTAATTTAATTATACAAAAAACAGAAAGTGGTGCGTCATCTAAATTCACTGAAATCTATTGTTTTGATAAGTTTTATCTAGACTGACATTTCTTCTTGATATAAAGTTTAATCACTTTCCCTGCTGTCTGCAGACACTAGCTGTCTAGATTTCTGTACCAAGGTCGAAGATAATAAAAAAAAAGGTTATAGAAATTGAAGAATATATTTGATCACTTTGCCGGAAGTGTAGCAATTGATCAGCTGCAAGAATTTGTGTATTTCCGGTTTTCAAGCCCAGGGAAAAATCCATAATTGACTTAAAGGCAGGCTCTTTCCACTTGAAAGATTCGTGTAACGCAATGTCTCCGGGATATTTTTGGCTGCAGTCCGAAACACAAGGTTTTTTTTTTCTTTTTTTTTTTTTTGGCCGATCGATTCTCAAGACAGAAACATAATTTTATCCACCCAATTTAATAATTTAAGAGTTTCTTTATTTTAATTTTATCCAATCAATTTTAGAATTTCAATGCTTCCTCATTTAAATTTAGTCCAATTAATTTTAGTTTCAGTGTTTCGTCATTTAAATTTTAACCAATCAATTAAAAAGAACAAAAGATTAATTCAGTCCAGCAATCCAAAAATCTCGATATTTCTCATGAGAAACGCAGGACTTCTTGCAAATAACTGATATAATATTACAGCATGCTAGTAATCCAAAACAGCAACGCCAGGAGTGAGTAAGGAACGATACTGCGACTCTGTCCAGCTCAAATCAAAAATATAGATACGAACTGGCAGGATTACGTCAGTTTTCATGCATTTAGTCAGGTTTTATTATTCACAATATTTTCCTTGTTCAGGGCATAAATGAAGCTTTATATTTCTGATGTAATGGAATAAACTGTCACCCCCATGTGTGACTACACTATAGATAGTAATTACCTATAAGTATCTGTAAGTCAACGGACTACAGAGACTGGCTGGGATCTGTTGAGTACGACTCAGAACTACCGATCTACCATTAGTAGCAATCACTACTAGATTGACTTGCAACGACCTTGTACATGTTACCTTTATTCTTATTGTACTGGTTTTGTACAATAAACCTTTACTTATTTTATCCACCGTGTTTTTCAAGTATATATTTCTTTTAGCACGGAATATAACAGTTCCGAATTTATGATATAAATATATTCGCACTATTTTCTTTAATCATTAACATATTTATATATCCAGCGACTCTGACGTATCTATTTGGTGTGTAGCCTACACATACTCATATCCCCACACGACAAATATATACCGAGTGTAACAGTAAAATTGTCCATATATTACTAGAATTCTTTATATATATATATATATATATATATATATATATATATATATAAAGAATTCTAGTGTATACGCATGTGTTTTTGTACATAGAAATATAGGTCCTTGCTAGATTAGATAATCGTTATATTTGTTTTTTTTTATATGTTTATATTTGATTTGTAACCTGTAGTCGATATTAATTTTGTCAAATTTGCCTAATTACACAGCGGCCCTTTCAGTAAATGCACTTCAGTTTTAGTTTCCCCCATCCCATCTCTCCCCACCCTTTTCTTTTCTTTTCTTTTCTTTTCCTCTCCCTCTCTCATCTTCTGACCTTTAAGATTATATCGTCTATTGTGTGTATATGTCACCACAAAAGTATCCTTTCCGGTTACATCTTTAATGTATTAGACATCCGAGAACATTCATATTTCTCTCACTGAAACCGTCTTTGACTCCCCTCTTTAAAACTTCTCTCTGTTAAATTTTAATCCCCCCGCTTCATCTTTAGACCTTCCTGTTCTTCTCCTGTTCTTCTCTCGTCTGTTACCCCTCTCTATAGCTTTCTTTTAATCTAATACATACACTCTCACTAAATTTTATTTTTTATCCCCGGAATTTGTAGGTCTGATGTAGGTCTAATGAATTGGATCGTATTTACGATTCAATGGAATAAATTATGACCATGGAATATTACTGTTCAAGCCTTTTTATTATATATATATATATATATATATATATATATATATATATATATATATATATATATATATATATTCATGAATTATTCATACAAAAACAAATACAAAGGTTAATGATTTAATTGGCGAGAAATCCATCGTCGCAAACAATTCAAATAATATACAAAAAACCCCGAACCTGTTATGAATGAAAAGATCCTTGTTTTTATAAAAAAAACAATAACTCATTTCTAATAGCATTTTTCGGATACATATATTTTCGTTGTCCTCTTATTACTGAGAGAAAAAACATGAACAACATCTATTCCATACCTGGAGATGTCTGTAGGAACAGACGAAAGCTTGTAAAAATAAGAACTAATGCAACAGAAATTTATAACTTAATTTACTATCTTTGTTTTATTTATTTTTAGAATTTAGTAAAATTTAAGCTAAATGCGTGAGTTCGAAAAAGAGCAAATTGTTGGAGCTCGCATGGCAGGAGTCTCGATCACTAAGGTTGCTGAACTGTTTTGTTTTTCAAGAGCTACCATATCAAGAACACTGATGCAATTCGAGAAACAGAACAAGACCTCTAGCAACCGTAGCAATTCGGGCCGGACTTGCAAACTTACTGACAGGGACTGACGTGCATTGAAATGCAATATGGCAAAAAATCATCGGACAAATGCGGCCAAAGTGACTGCTGAGTTGAATAACCATCTGAATGTTTCAGTTTCTACTAAAACTGTTCACAGTGAGCTCCATAATGCTGCATATCATGGAAGAGCCGATGTGAGGAAACCTCTTCTCTCCACTCGCAACATTCAAGAGAGGTTGAAGTGGTGCAGAGATCACAATGTCTTGTCTGCAGACCAATGGAAGCAAGTCATATTCTCAAACAAGT